AGCACAGAGTTGGCTTAAAAGCCTTGAAAAGGGAAAAGATTCAAAGTACTACCATGACAAACAAACAAACAAACAAACAAATGTATTTCAAATCCTGAATGGGTAAGTTGCTGCTTGCATCCCTTTTAAAATACTTGAAGTACAGTATTAAAGCTATGGTATTAAAGATCCGTCTCACCAGCTACAGCAGCGGTTTGCTCTCATGCCTACCTGTAATGATGGTGAGTATTACAAAGTATCACGGGGCTCCAACTGCAGTAGGATTTGAAAAGAACCAGAAAAATAGAGTCAAAGGTTTACCTATAGTTTAATGGTGACATGAAAAAGAGCCTCCAAAGCCACCTCCCCTGGTGGTGAGTTGCTGCTGACAGTAATTTGTGGAATGGCCAGTTTCAGAAGAGCCCTGTAATATAACAGCTAAAGAAAAGTGGTATACTAATTCTTCTCCTGGGACCTTGCAAATACCTATGGTTGCCTGCAAGTCCACATGCAGAAAGTCCTCATGAATGACAACTCCACCAATTCCATGGAAATGGGATCTAGTCCTGGCGTCTTCAATGACTTTTCACTTGTTTAAGGCTCTAAGTGATAAAGACTGCCCAGTTGAAGAGGGGTGAAGAAAAGATGATGCAGATCATTCTCCCTTCGGAAAAGGTCAAATCCCACATCTAACCCTGTGGGCTCAGCTAAGAGAGAATGTTGAGAGATGTCTCTGAGAACAAGAGTGAGCTTCACCTGCCTCCTGACCCAGGACAAGCTTCTCATCCCCTTTCATAAAGGACAGACAGCCTTGGTTGCCGTGCAGAAGCTGAGAGGACACCTATTTCATACAAGACCAGTAAGTGTGTTGCACTGAATTATAACAGGGTCAGAAGGGTTTTCAAGAAAATCCCTCTGGAGTCATTCATTAAGATTCCCAAGCCTTAAACAGGTACAAAAGGAATGTCTCTTGGGTGTATACTCTTAAGCAAAATATCCGCTAGCAATGTCCACTCGAGGGACATTGCCACCACGGATGGAACACAGTTTGAAGAAGGCAGGTTTAAATACTATCAGATACAGAAGACTGGAACAAAAAGCAGGAAAAACATTTTCCATAGGCTGGAAAGAAAAAAGCCGTGCAACCTAGTATCCAGGGCTGCAGAAGGCTCAGAAGGGGGAAAAAATTAAAATAAAACAAACAAAAAACCAAGAACATGTGACTTTTAATAAGAAATTTTAGATTATTTCTTGTTCTTATCTGGGCTAACAAAGGCAAAGCTCCTACAGACTCTGTTGTTTCATTTCTTTATTTGTATCACTACAACTGGCTATGCTACAAATTGACCCAATGTTGCTCTGTATCAGCTCTGCACTTTCACCTTGGGAACAGTGTATCTTGGATTTCTTCTCTTCAAAATGTATCAGTTGTATGGATGTGTCATCTGGGTGACACGGAAGAAGTTCTTGGTCACTTACAGCCAGTTACTTATCCAGACCACTTCAGTTACTGACATCAATCTGCATGTTTAGTATATTGAAATTTCCTTATATTTGCATAGCACTACTTTTCTTAACTAGGTTTATTGTATAAGAAACTGGAAACTATGAATACATAACAGCTGCCAAAAATAAGAAACTAAGAATAGCAATGGCAATAAAAATTATGTTCCTCATCTCTTAAAGAACTCTTCTTGTTCCAACAGGTGACCGTTTCCATTGCAAGAAACTTCCCCAGAAAATCTGCTCTGCTATGCTCAGAAATGTTTCCTTCAGCCTGGAGGCAAACAGCCTCCTGAAAGCTGGCAAGCGGTGAAACTGGAAGCGTGACCACTGCCAGTACAATCCTTTGGAAGTTTTCAGGAGAAGATGAAATTGTAAACATACCCTTTGAGTGTGTGGTACGATGGTAAACACCTTAACAAGCTGTCTTTTCCCAAAAACTAAAGATACTCACCATAATACTTAGCCACTGGCTATCACCAGGGACCTCCCCAAACATCAACGGGAGTCTGTGTTCAAGCACTGATTTCTAATTAGTCTAAAAGAAGCCCCCCCACCATTCTAATGGCAACTAAGTTAGAAGTTTATAGGGATACAGAAATATACTGAAGCCACAAAATTAAATAATTGAATATGCAAAAAAGCGTTATTTACCAGGAAAAAAAATCAAATGTCATAGTTTATTTGGTTAAGTATCAATAAATTTGTAACATATGAGTGATGCACTATACAGAAGTGTATCTGACTAGAGCAAAAGAAAAGATGCAGTACGACACAGGTGAGGACACCGTGACCCCGGAACAAAAATCCCACTACTGGGAAACTTTCCAAATACTACCAGCTTAAAAAAACCAAACACCACAAAACAGTTGTTGTTGAGATGAAGTATGAACAAACTAGCAGCTACACACATGAATGTGACTTTAGTATTACACTACCACAGATGGGTTTTCAAAATTCATTTTTAGATTAGGAGTTGTGACAAGCAATTTTATTCTAAATAGTTTCCAGAACAACGCCTGACAAGGTATCTCTCAGATTTTTCCTGAACTCTTGATCTTTTAATGCAAACATACTTTGGATAATGCTGATCCTGACTATATAATATGCCATAAATGGGTTCCATTTCCTTTCTTCCCAGAGTTTGTCATGTGCTCCCACCAGCTCCATTCCCCCCCTTGCACCATACATCCTCCCCTCCCTGTGCAAAACTGCCAGTCCCATTCCCTGGCCTGCCTTCGCAAGACCCCAGCCTCGCACTGTATGTGCCCCTCAACCAAATGGAAACCCCTGCCTTACTCCGCTGACCAGCTCGTTTCAGAGACCACATATATGGTACCCATCAGTGTAGAGCAAGCAGCCATAAGAGGGGTGGCAGGGTAAGAGCCCTGGGCAGGCCCTCCAGCAGCAAGACCCTTACATGGGTGTATTCACAAGTATTAACACCATGAAAGCAGCGACAGGAACGGAGGAGAAGTGTGAAGGCAGAAAGGGGCAGCAGGGATTCCTGGTTTCCCGTGTGGATTTTGACATCAGTACCCAGAGCAGCTTTAAGAAAGCCATTCCCTGCTTTGTTTCTCTTCCTCTTTTTGGAAGAGAGAGAAAATTCAAGAACTATTGTGAAAAAATACAGGCTATGCGTGACCCAAAGATTAGAAATGCAAAATAATTGGTTCTGGCAAAAGACAGGCCTAACTCTTATCTTATAGATCTTGCTGTTGCTGATAGGAAATCAATGTGAGCTGGGGAAGGAAAAGAGAAGCTTTGGTGGCTTATTAACAGAAGTTACCTTGTTACAGTTATCCTGAAAAGTGCAGAGTTAGGTCCTTCCCCACCACATCAGCGTGACCCATGTGATGAAGCAGACTCTCCAATGGGAGAAACTCTGTGCACGTGTATACATGCATTTATGAAGTATACACCCAAAAAATCGGCACTAAAAACACTGCACACTTTAGAAGGCCTGCTCTCCAATGGTACGGTATTCTAAGAAGGTGTATTTTGGGCTGAAGGACCGGACATAAATGACAAGAGTTTTTTCAGTCTTTTCGAAGACTGACAAATCAATAGCCACATATTTCAGGCAGGTCAAAACAAACTGTCTAGATAGAGCATGACAGGTGCAGCTTTCCTAATGGTTGGAGAAGCAGTCTTGGAATCGGAGGATCTGCCTCACTACAGCCTGTTGCCTAACCTTCCCAAGGTCACTTTTCACAACACTTTACAAATAAACACATAGTATTCGATTAATTTCCCACATTCGCACCAATGTAAACCAGTACAGTTATGTTTATAAACCTGCGAAGGAAAATAAGCCTGATAGTTGCCCCCAAGGAAGGGGCTGATTGAGTTAAGTGCTTATTTAAATTTGGTCAAGTCAAAAATGGGGATAAACTTTTTAATGGGGCCTGTTGCAACAGGACAAGGGGTAACGGTTTAAAACTAAAAGTAGGTAGGTTTAGGCTAGATACAAAGAAGAAATTTTTTACACTGAGGGTGACAAAACACTGGAACGGGTTGCCCAGAGAGGCGGTGGAGGCCGCATCCCTGGAAACATTCAAACTCAGGTTGGACGGGGCTCTGAGCAACCAGATCTAGTTGAAGATGTCCCTGCTCATCGCAGGGAATGGGCTGGACTAGATGACCTGTAAAGGTCCCTTCCAACCCAAAGCATCCTATGATTAAAACGTCTCCGATCAGGTTTTCCTGCAAGTAAAACTAGGAAGTTCCTTTACAAATTACTTTCACAATTCAGGATGTAAGATTGTTCAAATCTATTATTATTTTGACATAATTCTTGGGGGACGAGGTAGCTTAAGCTGTCAATAAGATACATAAAGACTTGGGCCTCCAGACTACAGCCTGAATTGAACCCAAGCTGACCCAACATCACTGAAAAATTCTCTGCCAAGCAGAGAAAATCCGAACTGCCCCTTCCCCTCATAAACTATGAAAAAGCAGGTGGTCTCAATCCTGCTCCTAGTTGTCAGCAGTAGGAATCATTAGCAAAGACAGGCAAGAGCAGAAATCTCTCTCTCCAGGAGTTTTTATAGGGCAAAGCTAAGATCATCGGCTGGAAATCAGTACTGGAAATCTTACGCTGCTGCTGGCTTTCCAGAAAAAAGATTTCATTCAGAAACCTGTCAGCCTGGTCTACAGGCAGCAACGTCACAAAAAAACCTGTACAGAACCTCCCCATATTTAGTAAATGGCTTAAATACATTAAAATTATCACACCAGTGTAGACTGCTAACCTAGAATTACCACACGGCTCGGGAAGACCTTGCGCCTGCACAGCTTGATGCCACTAGCAACGTAAGCGAGATATAGCAATATATGCTCGCTTACAGAAGCGCAGTGCAACTACACCTGGTTACGCCAGAGCAAACAGTCTGACTTGTGCCTTGCAACGCTGTAGGTATTCACGCACGTTCCTCAGAACTGTTCAAGGGGGTGTTTCGCACAAGGAGAGGGACTACAACCTACTCTTTCGTATAATATAAACTTTTTTTTAGTACCATGGCAGTTGCACGGGGAGCGTTCCAAGCACGGCCTGAGAAGCTTACATCTTGGTATCCACAGAAACAGCTTGCTGGCTGTAAGGCAACACCGGGCAGATGCACTGTGGGGAAATTTTTTGCTTGGGTATCCCTGGCTTGGCGGGTGGGACCCCGAGCGCTACAAGGCAAACAGCTCCGCTGCTGGATTCGCCCTCCCAGCACGCCCACGCTGTCCCAAGAGGGCACGGCTGAGGCTTCCATGCCTGGCTGCGATCGAGATGAACTTTCTCCCACCAGAGAGACCTGAACTTGGGGAAAACGCCGCCTGCCACCTGCGTGGCCTGGGCTAGGCTGTTTAACAGCAGCGTCTCCCTGGGTGCCACCCCCACCTCGGTGACAGCCCTGAAGCCCTCTGAAGCCCTCGTGCCAGGCGAAGGCCAGCGAACCGCTCCGCTGCCCATGGCTTCATGGAAGAGATGCCGACATCCATTTTGGGAGCAGGAGAGCCCAGTCCTGCTGGCAAAGTTTCGGGCCCTGTCCGAAGTTTGGGGGCAGCGCAAGATGGGCAAAGCTTGGGCCACGAACACGGCGTAGAAAAAGGCGGCGGCCGAGCTGCGGGATCCACGGGGCTGACCG